AGCATGTTTTTACACCCTCTCAATGCCGCTTCCAGCAGCAAACTGATGTCCCACGCATAGCACCAGCCACGGAGAGACTCAGCTCAGGGAAGGGAAGCAGGGCTGACTGACAAATGAGCTTGTGGGGCTGCCTTGGGGAAAAGATTTAACCAAATTACTGTATTTTTTTTTTTTTTTTAAGAGATGGATGCATGCAGATATTTGAAGGGCATAAACCAATCTGGAGGAGTGAGAGGATTTCTTTCGGGCAGAGCAGGCAGCTCTATGGATGGGACGCACCAAGGGCCAGAACGCAGACCTGCATGCCTGAGGAACTGACCCACAGGAGGAAGGGAAGTGCCACTGGCTCGAGACATGCAGATCAGATGGGACCGAGCACCAGGACATTCAGGCCATGTTCACACACAAGGTGCTGCGCCATGCAAGCCACTTCCTGGACCAGAAACGGTGCACGGGGCAATTAGCAGGGGGCAGGTGAACGAACGCGGTCGCTCAGCAGTGTGAACTACCCCACCCGCAGCACCGTGTAGTCATAGCTATGCTGCTGCCAGTCTCGAAGGCAGCCATGTGGAGTGGCTGAAGGCACAGTGAGCTTGTGGCCTAGATTCGGCCTCAGATTAGGGAATATCCCTGCACTAACAAGGCAGATAACCCAACGGGCTTTGTCTCTCTCTGCCTTTGATATGCTGCGACATTCAGTCTCTGCACATACAGCTCCCGCTGATAGCATCCAAGCCTCTGACCTGAGGGCAATCTATTGCTCAAAGCATTTCTCTAATCAGATGGAGGTTCCAGTAATGATGGTGCTGTTAGGAGAGGAACTGTTTGTGCTTGCTCCTCAAGAAGCAATTCTACAACATCATCATTTCTCAGCTCCTGTGAGCAAAGGCGAGCCAGCTACCCCAGCAACGTCACATACGGGAGGTGGAGAGGAGGGTCCTGTTTAGCAGATGCTGTAGTCAGACCCCATGCTGCAACAGTGCAGGAAGCTAGAGATCCGGTTTCCTCGGCTAGAACAGAAATCCCAGCTGACTTGAGCTGCCGACCCTTGACGGGACCCCTACGGTTCTGGGCTACAGATAATAAGAGAGCACTGTGTCGCGAGACCACCCTTCAATCTCTCCACCAACTACAAGACGGTGTAGAGTTTTCTCTTCTCTTCCATTTCTGTTTTCCTTTTCCTTTCTTCCATTTCTCCACTCCCTCTTACACATCCTCTAGAAATTTACTGGGGGCTGAAACAGTTCACTCAGTCTGTCTGAAATAAGTATGCAGCCATGTTAGCAGAGATTGCACCAAGCCAGTGAAGAGAGAACGAAAGCTGCTCTGCTTCATCTCATGGCAAATTAATTCCACCAAGAAAACAAATCGCAGAAATCTGGGAATACTCTGACTCCATAAAGGAGCAGAAATCAGTCACTGTCATGAGCAAAGCCTCTGTCCTGCTGCAGTAGGGCACATGGAGGCTGCGGACGCACCACCCCCTAAACCAGAGCCATCAGTTAAGCTTTGTTTCTGAAGCACCAGGACGTGCGTGGTGGCATCAGGCAGAACAGAACTGTACAGCAAACACAGGAAAGCAAAACGCCTTGTAAGACCAGGAGAAAGATCTGAAGCGCTGGGCTGAGGGAATCTCTCCCTAGAGGCAGCCTCCCGGGAAACACAGACGGATCTGAATGGGGGAAAACATGAAAGGAGCAAAGCCTAAACCAATTAGGAAAGGTGCAGCTCAGTGCTGTCAAGACACTATGGAAGATCGTTAATAGACCTGACAGTCAAGGCATGCAGGAGTTTGGAGCCCACTTCATTAGCAGTGACAACATCTGAAACCAGCAGTCGCTTTATGCAGATTCCATAATACCTTTTAACTTACAAGTTTTAACTCCTTTCTACCTAATGGGCTTTCAGAGGTGGCAACTCAGGTGCCTATACCAACCACGGGGGGCAAGGGAAAGGCTGCTCTTTGTTCCCTGCACAAACACTGGTAGAGCAGCAGCCCCGTCCTGCTACTGGGGACTCCTACGGTACATCCTGCTGCTGCATAGACCGCTTTTCCACATATGCTTTAAATATGAAGATTCACATTCCAAGTTGCAGAGTCCTTACCCAGGTTACTGCTGTCTTTTGAGGCCCAGGAGATGCAGTAGTGCTGCATTAGCTGCTCAAGCAACTCCTTTTCATCCAGGAATTCAAG